AGTTCAAACTTCACACACACATGGTACATCATGTCACAAACAGATATGTGCATTTTTTTCATGATCTGCTTAACAATAGCGGAATGATGGCCATTTTAAGGCCGAAAATGCATCAAAATCACGTATTTTCACAATTCCAGAACCGGATCTCAGTCATGCATGGATGGATTTTGTTCAGATTTAGCACAATGTGTTGTACATATGCAGGTGCATTTCGGTCATGATCTGCTTTGAATGTATATGTCACTCAAATATGAACGGAACGGGGACGTGTCATTGACAATGACTTGTTCCTAAATAATTGTGTTTATTGCAGGTTCCAATCATATGTATATTTTCAAGAATCCTCTGAAACCATGTAAAGATCGTAAATTAGCCGAGACTATTGATTGGGAGTTTGCACAGACAGAAATCGCACAAGCCAAAGGTTTTGCTACTGGTGGTATGGCTGGACTGAGTAAAGGTAATTAAAAAATATCTCATTTACGTTCTGGGGATTTAAAAAAAAAAATTTATTATTCTTCTTCATGAACATCACTTCAAGAAAGAGCTAAAACGTAAAAATGATGTTAGTTTTGCTAATGAATATGAAATATTGAAAGTAGACTTCCTGTCCTGTTCTTTTCACACATTTCATTTAGAGAGTACCTGACGCTCTTATGCCTTAAGAAATCCATACAAACATTTAACAATTTAGCCTTCAAACCCAGTGAATGTCTATTGTTTACAAATCTAACTTTATTTAGGGGAGCTCACTTATATTCATATCTCTGAAGTTAATTTCTTGTTACCCATCGATGTACTATCTCAACATTAATGATGTATATATTGTTCAGCAGATATGATACACATTTCATACAATATGGCAATGCAAATTTAATCTGCTCTAGAGATGGAAACATTATTTTAGTTGCCAATTTGGATGGATAGAGAAATTCTATGTTGCTAAAAATAAGCTCTTTGTGTAAAATGCATGTAAAGTCTGTTTCATAATTCCTCACCCCCCCAATAATAAAAAATTACCAGCACATAATGTTAGCATTTCTAAAACAAAGCATGTCGTTTAACTATCGTCAGATCAACAACGAGCTCAAGAACAAGTTTTAGAAATCCTTCCATTAGTAAGTGAAGCGAATGCTATCAGTGAAGAACTCAATAAACACAAAGGGTTTGAGGTGGTACTTATCAGTGCAGCCGCACAGGAAGGTGGCAAGGAAACAAAGTAAGTACAGCCTGTCTGTATAAATTGGATGCAGCTGAACTAAACTTGTCAAAATCAAAGCTGCCTAGCTAATCTGTCAACGGTTCCCTCTTTTCATCAGAAAATCAAAAAATAGTCCCGTTTAAAATAGGCACGTTCTTTCAGAAGATTAGAACAAAAATAGCCAAACTTTTGAGTAAAAACTGAAAACTGACACAAATTTTGTCTTTTGGCTTCAAAATTAGGGTTCATTTCCAGAAATATTGAAGAATATAAGAAAAGAAGTGCAGAATGATTTGAGTGAAAAGGTTAAACATAGATAAATACTTTATATGAAAACTATTCATGCATTCATCAGTGTACCTTATTTAATCATTAATAGAGTTATGGTTAAGATGAAGAATTTGTTAAATGGAAACACTTGGCTGTGGGAACGAGGAAAGTTTATGAACAGAAGATACTTAATGCAGGCAAGTATAACATCCCGACAAAACCAGACTTCTGCCATAGACCCACTCCCAACAAAAGTTTTTTTTCCTCATTCCATGTAATCATTGACCTAATGTTTATTTGTTTTCAGGATCTTTACCAAAGATGGTTGGATGGTGATGAGGATGTCAACAAAATTCCCAAAGAGGAAGATCCTTTCTGGGAACCTACAGAGGATGTCATGATTGGTAGTTGTAATGCCTTTTTACAAAGTTTAGGATACGCTTTAGATTTTGATGATGGGCTTGCGGTGACCGATTACAAAGTAAGTCTTCTCAACAACGTTTTTAAACATCATCATTTTTCACATACAAATTGAATATAATTTATTTTCAGGTCATGATTATTAAAAAAAATATGAGAAAAATAATGTAGGTTCAGAGGGTTTAATTAATTATTAAACTTAATTAACTCATCAAGATTCATCTATTAGGTTGGTTGGCTACCATTAAAACGTATCACCAGATTTTCCTAACTTTTACCATATGGCTTTGTTTTATGCTGTACTTCACAAAGTTCTGATAAAAATTGTCTTGTTATTGTGACTTACTTCTAAACTCAATTTGGATTAATCGGGATCATGTCATGGATTATCCAAGTCTAAGACCAGTGTTAACCATTCATCAAACAATTCTTCTGTATTCCTCTGTTAAATAACTGTTTTGTTTTGTTTTAGGGCACAGATGAAGGCACAATGTATATAAATATTACTCCATGCACACAGACTGGCAAACCTATAGATGAAGATATGTTTGTTGATGATCCTTTTGAGTTATTAGGAAAACCTTTTCATTTTAAGGTAACTGAGATCCACTGTTTGATATCACGGAAATGACAAAATATGAAGTGAAGATTTGACTGGATCCTAGGGAGTCAAATTGACTTTCCTTGGGTCCTAAGGAGTGACAGTCTCTTTTGTAGCAGTGAATATTTCTCTGGGGTCCATGAGACAGGGATTTGTGAAATTGACTTTTTAAGCAGTTAAGATTTCTCAGAGTCCACAAGACAGGGAGTCACAGTGACTTCTGGGAAATTTTGTCCTCAACAAACACTTTTTATGAAATAAGGAGCTTTTAAGCAACCAAAATTGTAACTGTACTTTTATTGTAAACTTTATTGTTATTATTTCTTTTGAAGGGATGAAACTCAATTCAGTGTTTGAATTATTACATTTCAGGTGAATGTTAAAAGCTGTGATGTGAACAAAGCCAGATATTCTAAGGGACTGTTTGTAAAGTATCGTGTGCATGACCAGGATGACTACACCCAGACAAAGACCTTATCCGGATCTCTCTCGCCAGAGTGGAATCATTCTAAGGTCGTCTCATTTCCAAGTATGACAAAGGACCATTTGGAATATTTTGATTCCGGATGCATTACATTCTTGCTCTATGGTGTACAAGAGGATACAATGCCGGATTCGAATCTCAGCAAAATGTCAACCAAAGTATGAATACTTTTCTAAATATTTTGTTAATGTCTTTGACAAATTTTCGATGGCCGATCTATTTATTTCAGCCAATGCTTTATTAGTTGTGGGATTATATATTATTAAATTTTTTTTTCAGGAAATTCGGGAGATGGAATCAATACAGAGCAAAGCAAATAATATGAAACTCAGGAGAAAAGATACTCAGTTTGGACTTGATACGCCTAGCGATTTAACTCAAATTAAGGCGGAGTACGTGCTTCTGCAGAAGAAGTTTGACAGACTTGAGAGAAAGGAAAGACGACTTCAGGTGGGAATTGCATGTTTTTCAATTGACTTTGACTTTGAATGTGATTGGATTTATCTGGATGTTATTATCCCTGACCAATTTACCTTTTAAGTGAAAAACATTTCTAATATGTGATAAAATAAGTATAATGACAAGTGTCAGTCCTACTTTTCAGATTTGTTGTGTTTTAAAATAGAGATGTTAACCTTTTCACCAACAGTTCTCCCCTTCCATCACAAATTCACAAAATAGTCTCGTTTATAGTCTGCACTAAAATAACCAATTCTTTTGAGTAAAAACTGAAAATTCACTCAATTTTGTCTGTTGGCTCCAAAATTAGGGTTCATTTCCAGAAATATTGAGGAATTTAAGAATAAAGTGCAGAAAAATTTGGGCGAGAAAATCTGATGGTGAAAAGGTTAAAATAGAGATGTTAACGATTCGATGTTCATTGTTGCTTCTAGGATATATGCAAAGATTGGGAAAATAAACCTGTGGAACAACAACAGTATGAACCATTTTTCAGAGCAGTGTCCGCGGTGGCATATAGTACTGGTACGAAACTCAAAACACGTGTTCATCTTATCAACCGGGTATGTATCAATTGTGTTTGGTATTTGACGATAAATTAACATAATTAACTAACAAGAAGTTATAGATACTTGATGATTTGATAAGGATGAGCAGTTATTGAAAATAAAATTAATTGGATTTGTTGGAGTTATGTATTAGCCTCTAGTGTAGTTACAAATGCATGATTTGTAGAAAGAATTGCCCAAAAAATATTTGTACACTTAAATGTCAATATCCTAATGCTGTTGATAGAATTATATGGGGCAGATTCCATGAACAAAAATGTGCAAATACTTTATTTTTGCTTAAAAATTAATATTTTGTGACATTTAACCTTTACATGTGTTGTGTTACTGGATTTGTTCTTTATTTTTAAATGTTCCAGTATTAATTGTATACTTCTTGATGTAAACCTCACGCATCCTCAAGGGTACAACTGCACTATGAAAACAGATTTGTTCAATTTAATTTCAAGAAAAGTATTCCTAAATGTCCTATGAAAGAGAATGTTATAAACTATTTATAGTGCAGTTCCACCTTTAAAGATGTACCAGGATGTGTGGCCTTTGGTGTCACAAATAAAGGGGAAGACACGCTTGGTGTTGTGTGATGAGTGGTTTCGTTAAGGTCTGCAGATATAACCAAGCAGATGCAGTGCTAACACAATCTGCTCTATACATACAATAATAATGAGCTTTTTGTACCCATAATAGAATGCTACAATTTGACCTCATTGATTCAGGAACCTGGTCAAGTTAACGACACCCCCACCCCACCCTATCCCACATACACAGTGTGTGCTCGCATCGCCACTATCACTTCAAAGCCAAAGGCTTTGGTGGACATAATCTGCAGTGTTTAAACTAGATAACATAAGGTGTTTGTGTTTGCTGCAGCAATAACTGAGACAATTTGTAACACGTGTGATTTTCACTGTACATCTGTCATACAAAGCGTACTCATCTGTCTGCACATGCTCTGACTAACACCAACAACAAAAAACACAATTGATTAACTTTTTTCTTCTACCAGCAGTAATCTGGAGAATTCACATTATATACTAATAACATTAATGCTATTAAACATCAAAAGTGTCAGCATTTTGTAGCGTATTACCGGTATGAATTCTGAAAAGCAATTTGGTTTTTGCCATGGTTTTCTATGGTCTGTATTATGAGCACTACTGGTATACCTCAAAATGTCATTTTGATTTCAAGTTTATTGACAATTACAGGTACCATAGTTCTGTATGTTGTTTAGGTTTCACCACTATTTCTAGATTAAGCCAAAATAAAAAAAGAAAGGTTTTGCTTCTCATCATTGCACACATCAAGTTTGAAAACCTTCGTTTCACACAATTTTGTTTCCAATTTGGCATCCAACTCAATCATTAATGCATACCAGTGAAGTGTGCCTGATTTTACCACCCCCGCATCATTTTTTAATTTTTCCTTGGACGAGAAGCATAACCTTATTTTTTTTAGCCTCATTGATAACTGATTTATTTCTTTTTTACGCGTCTCGCTAACACGCGTGCTGTTGAATGCATGTTTCTATCTTATCAGATTTTACAGGGTCACAAATCAGTTCAAGGTGGTGCCGCTGGGGTTGCCAGTGTGAATGTAAGGCTCATTGATGTGTATCCATGTTTGAACAATAAGATGACATAGAATGCATAGAATTTTTTTTTTTACATATTTTTTATTCATTTTCATTTTTCTTGTTTTTATCTTCCATTTTTCTTGTTTTTTCGTGTTTGCAATTAGCTGCAAGGAGACAATGCGAGTATTCTTAGTTGTGATGACCTTCCCAAAAGCGTAAGATCCCCGGTGTTTGGAGTGCCGTGTATCACCCAGAAATTCTTCCTTCACTGACATTGTTTAACATCCATGAGTTGCTGTGATACCATGCTGCACAACACATTTGTTAATGTTCAGTGCATCTATTTATAACCATTTATGCCAATGAACTTGCTTGTACCCATGGTCGCTGTAATTGTAGTATGTAGTTTTATGTAAATTATTGTGAACGCAATCACTGCTGCAGATTGACAGTGTAAATTTTCTAGGCACCGCAATCCCATGTATTGGTAACTTAATATTGGTCAACATTGTTTTTAACTATAGGGGGCGCTGTTTGTATTTCTGTCTTCTTTCAATTTGAATTGCATAAATACATGTAACACATTTATAAAGTTAAAACCTTGTTAATATACTATACCAAAATAAAAAAATTATAAAATATTCACTGTAGATAACAATTTTCATTTTTGGGGTTTTTAATTGCTTATTTTTATTTTTATAATATAAAAATCCATTTTAAATTCTCATAACACACAATAAAAAAACTCAATCTGCAATTCCTTCTGCACAGTAACCAGAAGGTATAAATGATTACTTTCTATCACTAGACGCAATGCTTTGTTTCCATACTGCAAATTTTTTGGCTCTGATCCCAAGTTCAAAATCACCAAAACGTTTTGCAGACATTCATCAATTAAAACCATGCTGTTTTCTCACTTGATTACATATTTCACATGATTTTTTTTACTCAGTTCTGTGATATATATATATATATATATAGTTCTGTGCACTGTATGTCATCAATCAATTTCACATGGATTTTTGTGGTTTGGTGTACAGTGTGTTGTGTTTATCACTGCATGGCCAAGTCTGTGCATGCATCTGTCTGTGCATGTGTTTGCCTACCAGTGTGTGTCAATTTTTTTTTATGATAATAATGTTTCTTAATTTGCCTTAATTAAAACAAATGAATATTTAATTGTTATCATAATACCTACCTATACCTCCCACTATTGTTTTATTATAATTAAAAAAGTAAATTATAATACAACTACTAGTATTGCACTGACATATCCTACATTATACACCTGCATTGCCAAGTGCAGTGTGTTCTCAGTGTGTCACATGACTGGGGAGAGCCAATGAATGATGTGTGCATGCTTCATTATGCCCAGAAAAAAAAAATTATTGTGTTTTATGGTTATTGCGCATATAAGGTAAAAAAAAATTGTATTTCACAGCTTTTATTGTCGGAATTTCAGATGAAATGAAGGGAAAATTCACTTTAAAAGAACAATCAAAATAAAAGGATAAATTGATTGACAATTTTTCGAATAAAATTAAACAAACGACAGCGTTTTGACCAGAAGCTTTTTTTTTTCTGGGCCTTACTCCCAGTCATGAGAACTCTGACTATACTTGTAAATGTGATATAACATTCGTGATTATTAAATTTTAGATGCATACATAGAGATTCTTCATATAAATCCTAGATTACTGTAAGGTTGTTAAAATCCAATGTCAACATTATCTAGCTATATGTAATTGTATTATTGTATTCACTTTAACTTGAGCAAATATTTTACATAAATAATTATGATATCTACAATAAATGAGTAAATAATTCAATATTTTGTGATATGAAAAGTAAAATGTCAGCACATTCATACAATGAACTTTCATCCTTATCTGGTATCACATTTGCATATTGATCTTTGCTAACTAATTAATACAAATTTTAGGTAATACATTTGCATATTGCATTGTCTATTCAACAACCAACCAATCAGCACATTCCTACAACCCACCATATATGGTAACAATTTACATAATCCCCCCTTGCATATTCTACATAGTTTTCATGTATTATTTGTCTATTTCTTATTAGGTAATGCAGCAAACCAACAATACAAATGGTAAAACGAAATCTCCCAAAGCAAACAAGAAACAAGACAAAGCTGAAAACAGCAAAACCTGTTTAGTCATGTAACATCTATATTCATTTACATTTTAAAGTATTTTATTAAAAAAAAACAATAATATTAATATTAACCATGTAATTGTGCTTTTGAAATTTTGTATTCTTTATTTCCCTGAAAAGCAATATTTCTGAACTTGTTATGAAAGAGTTTAAAATTGAAGATCACAGATTCATGAGTGCTTCTACGTGAATAATGTAGCAAATATCAGATCTGTCCGGCTAAGAAATGTATTTTTCCTCACATACATAATACTCAGCTTCAGAGCATCAGGTACATTTAACACATGAACTAGGTAATTATTTAAATCATGCCTGATCAAAAATATTATCATTTTTCTGCTATCCTGGAGACAAATATTTTTCTGTTAAATTTTAGGAAAAAAGTAGTCTTCAGTAAAATCAGTCTAAAACTTTCTATTCATTATCAGCTATTTGCTTCTGTGTATGGACTGGACTGTGACACATATATCATGACAGAGACAAACTCTATCAAAGTATGGTCATAGATTTACTGAATCGCATATAAATAAAAAAAATCAACATTTGAGCAAAAATTTGTGCTTTTAAATATGCCAGGCACTAAACCAAAACCAAAAGTCGCCAGCTTAAATTTTGTACGACTATCACACATATACATGTATATTATCATACAGGTATTTAGCAGTTTGTCAATAAATGATATCAAAATTTGAAGATGATGAAAATTGCTGTCCCATGAAAAGTTTATTTGTGCCGCTTTGGTGTCAGAGTTTTGATCTATGATTGATTGACATCATCACGATATATTACTCTGAGGAGTCATTTTACATTTTCTTCTTTCACTAGGTGGGAAGTCACATTTTCATCTATCACTAGATGGGAAGTCACATTTTCATCTATCACTAGATGGGAAGTCACATTTTCATCTATCACTAGATGGGAAGTCACATTTTCATCTATCACTAGATGGGAAGTCACATTTTCATCTTTCACTAGATGGGAAGTCACATTTTCATCTATCACTAGATGGGAAGTCACATTTTCATCTATCACTAGATGGGAAGTCACATTTTCATCTTTCACTAGATGGGAAGTCACATTTTCATCTATCACTAGATGGGAAGTCACATTTTCATCTATCACTAGATGGGAAGTCACATTTTCATCTATCACTAGATGGGAAGTCACATTTTCATCTTTCACTAGATGGGAAGTCACATTTTTATCTATCACTAGATGGGAAATCACATTTTCATCTATCACTAGATGGGAAGTCACATTTTCATCTTTCACTAGATGGGAAGTCACATTTTCATCTTTCACTAGATGGGAAGTCACATTTTCATCTACCGGTATCACTAGATGGGAAGTCACATTTTCATCTAAAACTAAATGGGAAGTCACATTTTCATCTATCACTAGATGGGAAGTCACATTTCATCTATCACTGGATGGGAAGTCACATTTTCATCTATCACTAAATGGGAAGTCACATTTTCATCTATCACTAGATGGGAAGTCACATTTTCATCTATCACTAGATGGGAAGTCACACTTTCATCTATCACTAGATGGGAAGTCACACTTTCATCTATCACTAGATGGGAAGTCACATTTTTATCTATTACTAGATGGGGATTCACTTACATCTTTCACTAGATGAGGAGTCACTTACATCTTCATCTTTCACTTGATGGGAAGTCACTTGCATCTTCATCTTTCACTAGATGGGGAGTCACTTCATCGTTCTTTCACTAGATGGGGAGTCACTTACATCTTTCTCTTTCACTAGATGGGAAGTCACTTACATCTTTCTCTTTCACTAAATGAGGAGTCTCTTACATCTTCATCTTTCACTAGATTGGGAGACACTTACATCTTCATCTTTCACTAGACCAGACTAGATGGGAAGTCACTTACATCTTCATCTTTCACTAGATGAGGAGTCACTTACATCCTTCACTAAATGGGAAGTCACTTTCATCTCTCACTATATGGGCAGTCTTATATTTACATATTTGCCTATTGTTATATGTAATCTATATATTTTTACAGAGTTGTTTTTCTATTTGTATGTTTAAGAAACCGTTGTTTCCCCTTTCCCCTTTCCCCTTTCATCTCATCTAATTAATTTTAAAACTACCACATAATCATGCATATCAAATGAGGCTAAGGCTACAGCCTCAAATGACAACTCATTACATGCACCAATGTTTGTGTAACATCCAAATTACTGTGCTCTTGCTGTCAGCCATCCCAGGGGGTGGTGTTTGCTTGTTTTGTTTGTATTTCCTCCATCTAAAGCTAGAATTTCTGCTCTCTAAGGCTGCAATGTTTGTTTCACACAGATGCATGTCAGTAGAACCCTTTGAATGTCGATTTCAACTTTTGTCACCATTCACAGATTAATCTAAATAAAAAAAATCATACATTTTATAAAATTCTGATAAAGACCTTATGTCCTTTTGGCCCAAAATTAACCAAAAAATTATAGAAAACATAAAGATGTGATTAATTTTGGTGGGAAAAAAATGGTGGCATTCAAAGGTGTAAACTAATATCAGCTTGTTACATTTTTATTTGATTACTCAAGACTATTCACAATGACTAAACTGTCAACCCCTGTATGACATTTTCGATATCAAAAAATGGAACAGTTAATTCTGCATTAACAATCATTGATTTGAAAGTACCGTACAATAACTATATTTGACATTTAAATTTAATTAATATAAAACCTTTGTGTACTAAATCAGAAACTGATTTATTTGTGCAATTTCTAAATACTGTAAAATACTTTATTTTAGGTGGAATTAATTTATGATTTCAGCTATTTTTGTGTGCAGTTTATTTTCACTGATTTTTGATGAGTTGAACGTAAAACATAGAAAAAATGGTATTTTCACTGGCTTAAATTTTCAACTTTTTCACCCCTTCAGCGAAAATAGCCAAAATAAATTCCAAGTGAAAATAAAGTACTTTACAGCAGCTGCTCCTAAAAACTGTACAATGTATAAACGAAACATAAACAACATTTCAGTGTTTGATCTGTCATGTCTTTCATATTTTCATATAATTTCTAGGGTTAAGGTATGCTGATTTTGAACAAAGATGTAATTATTGATGCACTATTACATTACCCCAACTCTTTTTTGTGTATCATTTTTTTTATTTTGTGTGTAAAACTGTCCATTTGTAAATATTTAGTACATTAAAAGAAATATACTTTTTTTTATATGATGTAATTAATATAAATGAAGAGAGTAAGATGTCACTATGGTGACAGCATGATGGCTGTTTCCATAGTGATGATGTATCATGGTTATCTGATTTTTCTACTGCTTTTTGAAACAGGATGAATAAATTTTGATATTTTTTCAATCTTGCTTGAATCTCACCCTTTATTTATGTTGCTACTTTAAGAACATTCTATTTTCTGACACAGCTACAACTTCAGGACATCAGTTTAGTTTTTGTTTACTTTAGTCTCCTGTCAAGCTCTGTTCTATCCCAGTTTCTTATTAAATTCAGGGGTTATGGGACATCTTTTTTGTGAGAATCTCTGAAAAGGAAGATTTATATCACCGACAATTCACCTTAGAACAATACAAAAAATAGAGTGACCCGATGATGTTAATTAACATCTTTCTTAACCTTTTCACAACCATTTTTAACTTTCAGAACCTTCAGCCAAAATGTTTGATATAAATCTTTCAGAAAATTATTTGTAGACAATAAAAAAATCTGCCTTTATGACCAGAATTATCATTTTATGTGATTACAGTAGCTGCAGAGGTCATATGCAGCACAAGTTCACATGCTTTTTTGGAAAAGTAATAAAATCTTTTTTTCCTGTCGCAACCAACCCCCACCCCCAAAACTGAATTCTGATGTATTGAACTAGAGTTCGCTAGCCTATGTTTATACTTTCAAATCCAATTATTTTTATTTAATATTAGTCATTTCAAATTACAAACAAGTCAATTGGAATGGTTTGGCAGGCATCTTCCATTCTGCTCAGTAATCACATAGCTTTCAATAGAAAGGCCAAAGTTACTGCATGTGTAAATTCTGTATATTGTGTTTATGCTTACGAATTGCTTTATATATATATATATATATATATATGGTCTTGTTGACTTCAGTGTATTATGAAAATCGTTCAGGAGAATCTTTCCCATGAATTATGATTTTGTAAAATTATTATTTAGTATACTAGTTAAGCAAAGGAACAGAATAATTTCAAGCCACGATCTATACTATCAATGTAAGCATAAACGATAATATTTTACAGTGTTAGCTCACTCTGTGAAATATTTGTGTGAAAGTTCAACAGGTTGTTGTCGATGCGCCCTCTTGAGGCATGATCAAGACTAGGTCACTATGTAAATTATCTGCCCTCCCATGTTGCATTGCGAAGCGTCTTAACGGAAATCACAATGGCTATGGCGGACAGTATCCAGTCGAGCCGACACGAGAAAAGCCTCGGTTTATTAACGACGAGGTTTGTTTCACTCTTGCAAGAAGCTAAAGATGGGGTACTTGATCTCAAAGTGGTAAGTCTGTGAATTTTTGGACAGATTGTGCACTTGAACGGGTGTTTGGTTGCTGGTATGCTAAGCCGAATTTTAAATCTCCCGTACTGCAACGTGATTGATTGGAAATATGGCTGAGCTGTCAATGCCAGTCTCGATGCATGTGTGCAGTAATGGGTTAGCAAAAATACTGTCATTTATATTTCTTTTCACATTGAACAATTCCTAACTCAACCAAGCCACTTATGACTGCATTTGCGTGATACATCGTTGTTTTGGGTGGATTAATATCGGTCACTTCCAATGTGGGTCAGTCATTTATTCAAAATGTGGCCTCATCTACATACGGAACGAGATCCATTGAAACAGAAAAGAACGATTTGTGACTTAAAACTGTCTGACGACACGCTTATCAACCCACACAAGTTGCCAGATTTATCTCCTAAAACATAAGACTGTTGTTTGTATTGATGACTTGGCATTTTGTTTACCAAAACATTTGTTTTGGAACGTGCTGTCTGGTTTCAACATGACCTCGTAGTATTTATTATTATGGGCAACCCTGTATGCGTGTCTTAGCATGAGCACCCAAAACAAACTTTTCCGTGACACTGTCATTTCACTAATTTTCAATGTACAAGATATTTGGGCAATTCTTTGGTGATAATAACTCATCTTGACTTTCAACTTGGTGGGCCACAACATTCTTTTTAAGAACATTATCAATCAATTGATTAGCCTTAGGCATGGTTTCAAGGCCCATTTTAACAATTTGTTAATAGGAAGCCATGGATCTAATGGTGTTGTCAGAGTGGTTGTTATTTATGTTTGATCATTGACTGACCACTCAAATGAGTTATATGTGCATCAAATTGATGCACTCTGTTTTGAATCAAACAGATGAACCAAATGCAAACTAATATATACCACAATCTCAATTACGCTTCAAATTTGGTGCAATTTACTTAAAATATTGTGCAAGGTGAATCAAGGTTAGGTTTAGTGTATTGTGTCTTGCTCATCAACCTCATTTTGCTATGGCAGTGTTTGAGTTGACAGCCGACGACTGACGACTGAATATAAATAATGCTCACCGCTACACCGTTAATTGGATAATGAGCTTGAGTTCCCTAGGTCACAGAACAACCCGTTTTGGAGAATGGTAGAAGCTGCATATTATCAACGAAGTATTTGTCCTAAGAGAAATTAAAGCGATGGAGTCATCACCTGCGCATGCGTCAGATGGCCATAGCGTGTCATTGTTTACAAACAAGTGTCTACCCATGAACCGTTTTAGCGCGTGTTGTCATCATCGTCGATTGGGACTCAATTCCCGCGCGTGCGCGCAGGTGACGACCATCCCGCTTTAAAATATTTGTAATCACTGACCAATTAAAATGTATTAGCTACCAGTTTTGACAATTTTCATTGGGGGCGTGGGGGTGTTTTTGTGATACTTGTGACTTCATCATTGATGGAATAATTTCTTAATGACTCTTTGCTCATATAGGCTGCAGACCAATTAGCTGTGAGACAGAAGCGACGAATATATGACATCACAAATGTTTTAGAAGGCATCGGGCTGATTGAAAAGAAATCTAAAAACAGCATACAATGGAAGTAAGTGCATTTTCACTTCAATGTTAAGGGGTTAGCATACGTTCACTGGTTCAATTTTTTGGCTTCAATTTACAGACTGAAACATACATTTTACCCATACATGTTATATACCATAATAAAGGTCTTGTTTCAAACTTTGGAAATATGGCAATTTTTTTAAATTATGCAAATACCAAGTCATGTGATCACAAGAATACGCGAAAATGGAGTAAAACGGTTAATGACGCAATTAATAATTAATTTGCAGCACGACTGAATATATTTTTTATGTAAATATTATAGAGGGGTGCTTCATGTACAATGTTCTTAGTTTTTTTGCAACTATAATTTGTTTTTATGTAGCTTTATTTCAAATGTTTGGACGTTATTACCTGAGTAAAAACAACATGTCTCTATATAAAAATAAGCAAAAAATCAAAACGAAGGCAGACAGAAAAAAATCCAGGAACATTCCTCCAGTACTCTATATAGCGGTAAAGTTTTTGACCAAAAATGGCAACGATCTGACCTTTCGTTTGTTAGAAATTGCGTACTGAATCTGTAGAACTACGTAGAAATCAATTTCAAGATAAACGCAAAAAACGTCCAAGGTTAATGAATCGCAAACTAGGCCTAAAAAATTTGAAAAATATGGAGTTATAATTATTGAAACATGTCTGCCTAGCGACCAGCTACTAAATAATGTCTTCTAATGTCGGGGCTAAATGTTATACGCGTTAAAGACAGGATGAAATATCAGAACGGCCCTGCCGTGTGTCAACCGACAACGTGGTGACTTCCCGCGAAAGTGACGTAGTGATTTGCATATTACTAATATGGTGTGGAGGCGGAGTTATTCCAAATAAAGAAAATGGTTTAAGCCGTGTGCACAAGATATTTTCAAGTTTGTTTTGATTACTGTTCACTGTAAAACTGATAGCCGTGTGGTACGTCGTAGCTTTTTACCTTCCATGGTCGTAGCAAGCGTGCGAACACGGTTTCTTTTTTAGTAACCATGGTGCGAACAAAAGCAATGACTTCGCTTTTTTTAGCTCGTTTTTGTGACCGTTTGTTGAATTCGACTGGACAATTTCCGCTTTATTTTCGATCGCGTAAACCCCGAATGTCACTGCCCCTCGCTCGCAGAAAATTTCCGAGGTTCACATTGTCTTATAATTGTCTTACTGGTTTTTACAAATGTTGAACAGCCGACAAAAGTTCAGATACTTTTCGTTTTAACTATCTATAATTATATGCACGCAATCTGACCCTTTGACTTCGATTTGGCTTGGATAGAATATTTTATTTTCAACAATATTCTGACGTGAAATACAAAATGTATTTCAACACAAGTACGACATGGTTTTCTTTCCCGATTGTTGAGTCTTCGCAATGTGTTTACGGTTTGTATAATTATTGTTGTTTTCCTCAAGGCGAAGAGAAGCTGAAGGACCATGAAGCTAAATGGGCTGAGTGAAAGAAAATATTTAATCTAAGCCTAAAATAAAACCTAATATTACACCTCTTTGTGTATTTGTTAATTTTACATGTTTGTCATGACAGTATATCTAGAAAAATCTCCTCTTTCGTTGATAATTTCCATTGTTTGGAATGTCTGTCGACCGTGCCCCAATAATTTGTTCGGGAAATCGATCCCCGTTGGTTTCTCCATACTGAGTTTAGGACGGGCGTAGGTCCCAACGTCCGGCATTCAACACAATCAGCCGAGACAAAACATTGATCGTGGGGATCATGTCCCGTAATTTGTGGGCTGAAAACCCAAATAATTAAACAAGTATTATTATTATATATATTTCTATTTACATCGCGAAACTACAACAGAGCTTGGTTGTTCGCGGTGAAACAGTCGCCTTGAAGTCGATACAACTTCAACTAGCCATTTCTTACCTTGAAATCAAAAAAATAAAATTCCAAGAGCATCGGGGAATATAATAATAACCATTTTTAGCAATCGCTAGATTTATTTTATCTGAATACATGAAATGCACGAGATTTTCGACATTTATTGGCAACTTCCGCGTTGAAAATGGTTGAAAATGTGGGTGTGGTTCTCTCACAAAATCCTGTTGATAATACGGACAAAAATGGTTCTGTGACCCAGGTCGTGCTTCGATCAGGTGACTTTCAGCAAATCAATGATGTTGTAACAAAGCATATTTGACGCTTATTGAAGGGTCGTCGTACCGGCCAATCTCCGGCTTCGATTCACATAGATTTTTTTGTTCTGTGACAGGCTTCAAAATTATTCACTGAAAAACATCGGTATATTTTGATTAACGGAGGGGATTTGACCTCAGTTCAGAAAGAGGAAAAACTAAGCTGAGTCTACGATGAATCAGTTTTCTTTGTTAGTCGTGAAATAAGGTAACCCAGAGTAGGGTCGATGATTTTCAGACTTCCGCGTAAATCCTGATTTTCGAATTGTTCATCGTCTGGCCACCAAATATTTATGGCTATAACTAAATTTGACACGTTTTTTTTTCTGAATTATTCATTTATGTCAAGCTCTGTTCTACTCTGTTCTGAGTATGTGGCCGTTTTATTCAAAATATTTTTTGTGGGAACACTTTTACGGTACGTATAGATCGAGCTCATTCACTGATTGTGACTTAATTTTGAAAATTTAATGTCAAATTATACCAGACCGCCTGTGGACCGACGTGGTTTTGGTATCGTTATTTTTGGAATTAATCATTAACATTTTCCTCGTTTCTCTGCTCTGTCGAAAGAAGTTACCTATGCCCTTTTCACGTAACTGTCTCATTAAAATAAAATATTACATTTAGAACAAGCACCGAAAACACGTAATAAGAGGTCCCAGTTAAGTTGCTTTGACAATTGAGTGTCATGCAACTATTAGATTTGAAAAACCACAATTTCGACTACTTATGTGTGATCAGTGTTTTTTGCGAGCAGTCAATGTTTTCAATGAGCGAGCGAGCGAAAAAAAGAGCGATTAAAATGCTGTCGGTTTCCGGTCGGACAAGACCGCGCGGTCGGAAATCAAGCAATAAGCTGTGGGTGTAAAAGCGGAAGGCTGGGCGAAATGAGTACCGTAATTACGTAAACTTTCTAGTATTGATATGCAAATCGGATCTTTCATCAAGTGTCAATTAGGATTACGTTCATGCGAATGTTGTGCTTGTGTTGGTGGTGTTTATAAACAATCACACGTGGCAATGTTTTGAAATAGAAAAAACGTCGAAATATGCCTTATAAAATGGAGTTTTTGTTTAGAATAAAAGCACAGTCATAGATACTGTCATAACCATCAATAATTTAAAATAAAAAAAAAATATTGAAAAAAAAACACATTAAACGTATGCTAACCCCTTAATTGCCCCATTATGTTTTTTCACTTTTCGTAATCTTGTGGTACTGATCTGGTGTACCTCTTTGTGTCACAATATTTTCATTGCTGGAGGGAGTAGATAAAAACAATGTTTTGAGTCACCTTTGCCTGTGTGATCAAAAATACATATCAATTCTAAAACAGGACATTGTTACTTGTTGGTTCCTGAAGGCTGTACTATCACATTGCATCCACTATTTAGTTCTCACAGAGCCATGAGAGAAAGGGGCAAATTATACCTGTGTACTACGTAATTTTAGAACTGCATACAAACTGTTTTGTTTGCCAGCTATGTCATGGTTTAGTGATTTGTATACTCCTCACAAGAGTTTATTGTATGTGGTTATGCTCATACTTAGCATGTGTCTGTAGTGAAGGATGTATTAAATAAATGCAATTTATTATTCTTGTAATGGGAATGACATGTGATATTATAAAGCCTGCCCTATCAAACATTGAAAAAAGGAGAATGAATTAATACCAAATACTATAATGTGAGTATACATAATGAATATACCACCTGGTATAGGATGCTCTATTCACACACCTGATTATAAAAAAATTACTGTAAACACATTATTTATGATTTTACACTTTTACTTTCTTGCAAAATTGTTTTTTTTTTCAAAAGGAGATAGTATGACAACTAAATAGGATATATTGTTCCCTGGTGAACCAGCCTTATATTGCTTATAATCTAGTTACCCCTCTTCTTTCTCCCTGCCACAGGGTTGTATAGTTCTGAAGTATATTCATCATTTACATATGTCTTGTTACAGAGGTGCTGGTCCAGGCTGCAACACAAAAGAAATAACAGATAGGTTAACTGCACTGAAACAAGAACTTGATGATCTAGATGCGAGGGAGGCTGAGCTTGACCAACAGAGGCTATGGGTTCAACAGAGTATTAAAAATGTCACTGATGACCAGGAAAATCATAGATATCCTTTATGAAGTTCTGATAAATGTACATAAAAGCATTCATTGATACAACTTGTCACTGTATGTTTCATTTGGCAGCTTCTCTATTTAGACTGTTCGGTGAGGTCAGTAATTCAAACACCGTTGCCTACAGTCAAGATATTATACTAGATGCAGTCTATTATTGTGCTATGAATAGTAGACAAGTGAATCAGTCCGAAAGGCTGTGGGTGGGCCTTGCGTACGAATCAGACTGCGCATGAGAGTTTCCATAATGTTGTACTGAAGTCATGGAGACAGCCAATCAGTGATGACACAGAATTCTGTGTTATTTTCATCTTTATGTAGCAATTCACCAGGCCATTTTTGATATCACTTAGAAAGGGATTGTAAATGGCTGGATTTCGGGTTATCAAAATATTGGCGTAGAACATTACAAGGTGGAGCAAAGGGTCTGGCTGATCTCATTCAAATTCCAAATCAAACAGTGCTGAATGTTTCTGGTTATTTTTGTTTCAGAAAAACGTGTTGTATACCTTAGTAATTTTTGCATAATTGCCAATGTGTATATTAGTTGATTTTCTTGATTGTCAATGTAGAACTCTATATTTGACTGTATATCCATGGTCTGTCTTCCTTGACCATCATTTTACATTAGCATATGTAACACATGAAGATATTTGTAGATGCTTCAGGGGAGATACGTTACTTGCAATTCAGGCCCCGTCAGGCACACAGTTGGAAGTTCCTATACCCGAAATAGTAAGTATGACTTGGTTGTGTATCATTTGCATTGCAAATATGAAAACCTAGGTGTAATTAATGTACATGGTGTTCCTTGTTTTCACTCTAGTGTAATTTCATATTTTGGACTAAAAAGTACCTCTTGGGTCACTATAATAATATATCATATTGGTGACACTGTGCAATGTCGTCTTCTGCAATCCACTGACATTAGTCGGTGAAAGGAACTCTTCTAGTGATCTCGCTGTTGTCAAATTCATCAAGTATTTTGGGAGAACTGTTCTTTCAATCAGTGTATGATATGCAGTCGGGAGCATGGGCTGTTCTTGATAACAGTTTGCCATATTCTTGTGTAGCTCCAATGCTATCCTAGCCATGCAGAATTAAGCTATACACGTAAGGTCTGAATGTCAAATGCATTTTTTGAAATGTCTATTGAGTGTCTTTGCCCATTTCAAAGAATACAGATGTTTTATATATTGCCCCTTATAGATGCCAAGGTGTAAATTTAGAGAATTAAACTAGCTGCCCTCTCAAACTCTGTACAGTGATGATGATAGTACCACTGTATGTAATTTATTTAACATTTCCAATGTTTCCTATAGGGTCCCAATCAGCAAAAAAGATATCAAATTCATTTAAAGAGTTACAACGGTGCAATACACGTATTACTCGTCAACAAAGACACAACAAGTAACAGTCCTGTCGTTGTACCTGTGCCGCCGCCAAACCTAAACCAAGCTGCCATAAACCAAGACATTCCAACACAGAAACCAGCAGTGCCCATTGCCAGCAAGCTAGTCCCTGCCAGTGATCTCTCGTCTCTACAACCCGTGTCGGCGATAGCTGCCGCTGTAGCTGCTGCAGCCACATCCTCAAACCATGCTGCCATAGAGACGCTGAAAAAAATGGACGTTTCAAGTTCAAGTGAGTAACATTTTAATTCTTTATGCAGGTTTCTGGAACCAGTCAAAGAAGCAAGGAGTCCAGACATTTACGTGTACACATCAGGTGATTTTCCGTTTAACTGCGAGATCTTGCGAGATGCATGAAAGACGTGTGTCGAACGTCTGCCGCAAAAATCAAACTATTTGATTTTGAACTCGAATTTCTTTATTTCGTAGCTCACATTGACCAGCCGATCTTCGACAGAGGAATATTGCTTTTGAATACCATCACTTAATCAAAATTGTCTATCATCAAATGTGTACAGCACATTATTAAGCATGGAAATGCCCCCCAAAATATGTTTGCATTTGTTGAATCCCACGCAATGTTTGTCCTGTTTTTACGTTCGATTTCACGCATAACGCATGATTCTCGCAGTGAACAAAAAATGGTTTATTTTAAAACATGGCATAGAAGATTAGGAATGGTTTAGACTGGAATTAGGATAGGTGTTAATGATGGAAATATCTTGTTATTTTATCAAAAATTAAGTTATCAGGGTCATCAACATAAGTGTTTTGGTGTACAGTGTTTGTAGAAGCCTACAAAGATATTTCATGTGATGGAGATTTGAGATAACCTGTCACAGTCCATTAGTTTATGTAGACTTTATTCAATAAAATGGACTCATTATCTGGTGTTTCTTTCATCATTTTTATTATTGTTTTATATTTTCAGTGGGTGTAGACAGTTTAAATGATGTTCCAAGTGAGATGCTGTTTGATCCATCAAAAGACAGCGCCATGGACGGTGAGCTTATTGATGAGCTCATGCAGTCAGAAAGTATGTATACACTACACTTTACTGCACACTCCTTTAGTACCTATATGGGAATGCATCCAGTTAGAACTATCAAGCAATCTTTCATCCATCAATTGATTGAACTCTCTTCAATCGTCTGAATGACGATTGTTATTATCACTTACCATTTATATTGTCATAGGAACATAACGATAAACAAATGTTTTTTTGTTTGTTTTAATTTCAGTGTTTGCTCCACTACTACGACTGTCACCACCACCTGGCGACCATGATTATTACTTTAATTTGGATGACAGTGAAGGAGTCTGTGATCTCTTTGATGTCCCAACGTTGTTGACTTGAAGTTCTATTCCACTACAATTTGGATGGATTTATAGGAACTTTTTGTATTCCATAATGACCATTTGGTTCTCACCGTCACTTCGAATGACAATCGTGACCTTTTGGTTGTGACCTCTGTAACATCACTTTTGATATGTGCCGAGATGACACCATCACTCGGGATTGATCGCTTCAAATGCTTATTTAGATGAGATCATCATTTCCGATGTGTACCTTGATGACATCATTGCTTTTGGATGTGTACCTTGGTGACATTACTTTTGGATGGTTACCTGTTGACATTACTGTGGCTGCGTATCTTGATGACATCATTAATTTGGATGCTTACCTTGATGACATCATCACTTTGGATGCTTATCATCACATCTGTATATTTCTGTTACATGATTTATTTATGCCCTGACATTAATTTCTGAAAGATGTCAACTTTTCAGCTGTAGATGTGAACTGGCATATCCTCCCTACCTTTTTGGGGTGGGGCAGCCCTTGTACAAAGACTATACCAAATATCTTTCCATACTAACAAGTGCTAATGTTTATACGTAAACTCATTTCCATTCTGCACATGATGCAGGATGTGTTCTGTTTTTGTACTAATCCTGTCTGTGGATTATGTCGTCATCCTGACTGGATTATAATAAGCATATGTGTACAATGAACAGAGACCAAGCAATGAGAATTTATATTTCACTAAAGAAAACTTCCTTTTGGCAGCTACTACAGTTGTAGAGCAAGATTAGCAGTGCCCATATTTTCAAAATCATTTTCTGCATAAAAATATTGCATGCAGTTTGTTGTAGTATATACCGTATGTAAATAAAAGTATCTGGGAAAGTGTTTTCTACCAGGGTGAGTGGAGAGGCCATAGATTCTCTTGAAATTGATTCCTGGAAAAAAGGTAGTATTTGAGACTTGTTTTGTTTGAGTCCAAGTGACACTGTACTCTATAATGGATTTCTATATTTAAGTTAAGACGATCTTACTGTAAATGTTTTAATTATTCACTGGCTTTTATATTTGCTGAAAAGTGAAAGTGTATAAATTAACTCAATTAAATAAAACTCATTGGTCAATATGGCGAAATTAATCCCAGGAAAAATTGCTTTTCCAGTACAGATACCGCTTCCCGTTAAAGGGAAAATTTGCTATTTCAACAAATTTTCTATATCATTTAACAGTTGGAACGAAACATCCATTCAATGAGTGTCAGCATAGATGTTCTGGATTATGCCACGACTACCGCAGTGTGGCTTCATCCTACCAATACTGCTAATATCATAGCTGTTGAGCCACTTGTAGTCCAGAAAGGAAGCTTGCACAGAATGTAATATAGGAGTGTATTTATGAATACTATTAATTTTGTGTTTTATTCTTTATTTTGAACAACTTGTATTGTAATCAGAATTTTTTTTTTATTTCTACAATTTGAATTACCTGAAATGTTGATTTAGCAACTTTTTTTTGGATCCAGAAAAAAGTAAAACTGTGTATTTAATTTGTTTGTATCTTGTATCTGTTAATAATCCACCCAATTGAGATTAAAGGGT